AGGCTTTTACACACAGAGGCTTTTACACACAGGCGCTTTTACACACAGACGCTTTTACACACAGACGCTTTTACACACGGAAGCTTTTACACACAGGCGCTTTTACACACAGACGCTTTTACACACAAACGCTTTTGCGCTTTTACACACAGACGCTTTACACACAGACGCTTTTACACACAGAAGCTTTTACACACAGACTCCTTTACACACAGAGGCTTTTACACACAGAAGCTTTTACACACAGGCGCTTTTACACACAGAAGCTTTTACACACAGAAGCTTTTACACACAGAACTTTTTTCACACAACACTTTCACACACAGAGGCTTTTACACACAGAAGCTTTTACACACAGGCGCTTTTACACACAGACGCTTTTACACACAGACGCTTTTACACACAGAAGCTTTTACACACAGGCGCTTTTACACACAGACGCTTTTACACACAAACGCTTTTGCACTTTTACACACAGACGCTTTTACACACAGACGCTTTTACACACAGAAGCTTTTACACACAGACGCTTTTTAACATAACAAACGCTTCTTTTACGCTTTTACACCCAGACCCTTTACACACAAACCTTTTACACACAGTACTTTACACGCAGAAACGCTTTTACACACAGAACTTTTACACCCAGGCGCTTTTACACACAGACGCTTTTACACACAGACGCTTTTACACACAACCGCTTTTACACACGGCACTTTTACACACAGACACTCTCATCACACAGACGCTTTTACACACAGACACTTTTACACACAGACACTTTTACACACAGAGGCTTTTACACACAGAGGCTTTTACACACAGACACTTTTACACAGACGAAAGCGTTGCGATTGACACTTTAAAATTGCAATTTTTCCTCAGTTTTTGACGTCCAACGTCCATTTCGTGCGTAAGGGTTGCGATTGACAACTCAAAGTCGCAATTTTTCCGCAGTTTTTGACGTCCAACGTCCATTTCGTGCGTAAGGGTTGCGATTGACAACTCAAAGTCGCAATTTTTCCTCAGTTTTTGACGTCCAACGTCCATTTCGTGCGTAAGGGTTGCGCGGGACACTTCAAAGTCGCAATTTTTCTTCAGTTTTTGACGTCCAACGTCCATTTCGTGCGTAAGGGTTGCGCGCGACACTTCAAAGTCGCAATTTTTCCTCAGTTTTTGACGTCCAACGTCCATTTCGTGCGAAAGGGTTGCGCGCGACGCTTCAAAGTCGCAATTTTTCCTCAGTTTTTAACGTCCAACGTCCATTTCGTGCGAAAGGGTTGCGTTTCGTGGCGCTCCGGCGGCACCGCCCCCGCCTAAAGAGAGAAATAGAAGAAGAGCGAGAGGAGATCTGCAGATGTGAAGGTGTGAAGATGTAGATCGGCAGATGTGAGGGTGTGAAGATGTAGATCTGCAGATGTGAGGGTGTGAAGATCTAGATCTGCAGGTGTGAGGGTGTGAAGATCTAGATCTGCAGGTGTGAGGGTGTGAAGATCTAGATCTGCAGATGTGAGGGTGTGAAGATCTAGATCTGCAGATGTGAAGGTGTGAAGATCTAGATCTGCAGGTGTGAGGGTGTGAAGATCTAGATCAGCAGGTGTGAGGGTGTGAAGATCTAGATCAGCAGATGTGAAGGTGTGAAGATCTAGATCTGCAGATGTGAAGGTGTGAAGATCTAGATCGGCAGATGTGAGGGTGTGAAGATGTAGATCTGCAGATGTGAGGGTGTGAAGATCTAGATCTGCAGGTGTGAGGGTGTGAAGATCCAGATCTGCAGGTGTGAGGGTGTGAAGATCTAGATCCGCAGATGTGAAGGAGTGAAGATCTAGATCAGCAGATGTGAAGGAGTGAAGATCTAGATCAGCAGATGTGAAGGAGTGAAGATCTAGATCAGCAGATGTGAAGGAGTGAAGATCTAGTATAACGGCTGCTTTTTTACGAAGAACCCTTCGCAGGCGCTCTCGGGAAAAAGAATCTGCACCCATATTATATCCCTATGCTTCGTTGGTGAATCCAATCATCCTTCGTCAGGAGACGCGCGCGTGCGCGTGGATCAGCTCTCGGCCTGGGCAGAAGTGGCCAGCGAGAGCTTCCAGGAACGCTGGTTCGAGGCTCGGGTGGATGAGATGAGGAAAAATGTTTATTACCCTCTGGTAAACTAACATAACTATGGAAAATCACCATTTTTGATGGGAAAACTCACTATAAATGGCAATTTTCAATAGCTACGTTAAATTACCAGAGGGTACTCGTAGTTAGTTGGTATATATTAGTAATATACTAGTTATATACTCATAGATGATTCGAATAAGCATTAGTATATATATATATACTAGTTAGTATATCACTACCCCCTTGGCAGCCTAAACCCCTCCTGGGGTGGAAAACCAAAAATGTAAAGTACAATAACCATCAATAACCTAATCCACTACATATATAAAAATAGGAGAGGGAGTCAATAAATGTAATATCACCTTAGGCCATACGCGAATGGAGTTTGAGCATTTTTTGGATACCCCCTCCTCACAACCTTTCAAGTAGGCTTAAACATAGGGGGGAGGGAGGCTAGAAAATGTAACATTGCGCTTTTGCAACCCCCCGGGAGGAAAGTGGTGGTACCGGGGTGCATTTTTCCAAAATGCAGGCGATTCCACTAGCAAGAATCTACTGTACATTTTTCGCTCTCTCGGAGATCTAAGGGAGTCGTGATGTTAGTATTATAGTTTGAAGATATTTATATATATATATACAATTAGTTAGATTTCAAGGGGTTGTTTAATGGGATTTTTGGTGGGATATTATGATGATTAATGGTGATTATCGATAATGTGCGAAAGCCAATGCCATAAGCAACTACTCGTAGCATTTGGGGCTGGTTTAAACCGCACCCAAAAAAAGACGAAGAAAATAGAACCAAAGTGACGAATTACTGTTCTATTTTTTTGCGGGGCTACGAAATATATAGTTGCTTAAATTAGGTTATTCAAAAGGATAGACCTTGAGTTGCACGTTAAATGGCTTGGATAGATAAACAGAACGCTAGCTAGATAGATGTATACTGTGTATGTATGATACAAGTTCGCTCGTTATGGAGTCACATGCCACCCAACTTTGGTTTCGGAAGTTGTTTGTTTTTAGTGAAGATGTGTGCCGGCAAACATGTTTGATCAAAGGAGCAACCCCAGATTGCAAGAGGAACTTTGGCTGCTCAAAGACTTGTATATCCCCTGCCAGACTTGCTTCACCACGATTTCTTGTCTAGTGGTTCCATAAATTTCAATTGAAGCTTCTGGGGTGCTGTTTGGCTTGTTCATTCACTCGAGGATGTGCGGGAACCCCATTTCTGGGCCACGGAGCATCGTCACTTGACACGGCCCAGTATTGGCCCAGTATTGGATCTGTGCATATCCGGATCTATGGGTATTGTGGCATTGCGGTAGACCCCCCCGTATATCGGTCCTGATATCATTTGGATTTGGCTGAGGTTGCTGGCTGGAATCGGTTCTACATGCTTACCCATGCAAGATTTCATTTCGATACATCATATAGGGATGCAACCGGCACGGAGAGTCGAGTTTTCACCAGGTAAAGACACTGTTGATACTGCACCTCAGATATGAAGCCCAGAATTGTGATAGATCTTGCTAGGGAGAAACAATCACAAAGTAAGCATTCTGGAGTGGAAAGTTGGCTTATAACTGGGGTCTTAAGATGGATATACCTACAGGATCTTACAGGTAGATAAGCTTTGGAAACCAACAACTTACCTTTGTACCTAGAGGACTTCGCAGGGCCAGTTGGTCCACAGCAAATGCTTGGAACTTACCCCCTCTGCGTGAGGGCACTGAGAACCACGCAAGTTTGATGCGGAACATGATCATCAACCACCAAGTTCTGGGTATGACCCATTTTCTTACACTGCCCCGTCTCTGCTGAGGCTATGTCATTGACAATCCATGGTCCTTACTCCGCTTTTTGCGCAGTGACCTTCCCATCGTGGGCGTGGCCACTACCGGGGATACTGGTGTAGATGGACCTTTGCCAATGCCAGAACCAACAGGACGAAACGAGCCTGGTGCTGGAGGTTGCATCATTTTGTGAGGAAAAACATGAGACACTGAGAGCCGATTGGGAACTCTGCGATTTCGCATGAGAGTGTTTTTGTAAAGATTCTGCACAAGAGTCCAAAGGCAACCTTTGTAGGACAAGCCAATTGTTATGGCTGTGAAAGAAGTCAAGGAATTTGAGATTTATGCGAATCCTCCAGTCCCCCGGCGTTTTGCACGGACCAAAGACGGGAATATTAGTTCTAATGTGTTCGAATTGGTCAGTGGTCGGTGTACCTTCAAGACACCTGGCTTTCTCCCAAATCACTTTTAGTTTCATTTTGCTTGGGTTCAAGAATTAGGGGTTTAGGGCTTAAGTGTTTAGAGTTTAGGGGTTTTGTTTGTTGCTTTCATGGTTTTTAGGGTTTGAGGTGTACGGTTTAGGATTTAGGCTGTTGCGATGTTTTGTGGCTTTAGGATGATGGGGTTCAGGATGACTTGTGCAATGACGCACACGGCCCTACCCCAAGTTTTTCAGGAATGCCAGAATTAACAACAGTTTACAGATATTTACAGTGTTTTTAGAGCGCCTCGGGCAAAACGATGTGTTTGGCCGTACCTTTACAATCTATGTTCACTTTGCGGACAAACAAATATGTTCAAGAATGAAACAGAGTTAAGCGGGTTCAAGAGCATGGGTTGATATGTGTGTAGATGGGTGTTGTGGGTTGAGTCATAATATATTATATTATATGTATGCCCGTTTATCTTTGCAGGTTGTCACGAGTCTAACAATTACTTTGCTGCTGTTGGATGTAGTTATGACTCTGTCTACATGTATGATTCAATGTGCTTGCGGAATGAATAGTGAATAGCGCATAGACCTTGGAACAAGGAGACGTTAACACCCCATGAATCAAAACTTCTCAGTGGGCAGCGTTTCCTCACTTGGAGGCGGTGGAGCAAGTGAGGTGCGGGGCATGGTCGGAATGGTCCAGGGCGGCCCGAAGGTATTAAGCTTTAGTAAAGGAGGTTGACACACACACACACATAATTCATTGTAGGGTTGATATAACTTGGAGGATTGATACGTGTTGAGGTGGCTTGATCTGCAGGCATATGAGTGATAATCGTTTTGGGGGGTGAAGCCGAATCCTCGTTGCAAGGCTGCTTACGTCTCATATGGTTGGAATGCCCAACAGCGTTTGGATAACCATGCAACATGAAATATGGTTTGTGTGCTATTTTGGGTGGTTGGTTCAAGGATTGTTTTTGGGTGAGTCAAAAGTGGCAACAACAATCCAGGACATGTATATGAAATTATGTAGCTTACAAGCCTAGGATGCTACCTTTTGCTCCATGATCTTGAACCAATTCCAAATACCCAGCATAGACAGAAATCAAAGTGGAGACGAGCAAAAACTATCCTGGATTATCCTCCTTCTCTTGAAATGATGCTTGGTGATGTTTTCTTGAATGTTTCGCTGCTCTTGCATTTTTTGCAGTGCTTCACCGAACCTTATCAGGGTCCGGAATGCCGGCTTACACATGTTGATAAACTTTGCAACCTTTGATCACGGCCCAGAAGCACTTCAAACCTCTCTTGCTCCTACAAGGCATGCTTCAGCTTACACATATGCAATCCCTCAATTTTGATGTGTACCAGTAGTACCACACAAGGCGGTGGCGGAAGTTTCAAAAATAGGAAACCTATAGGAGACGTTGATTGTTGTGAATCACGGATGGCAGAGCGAATCCACTGATGGACCGACAGGTGGTTGGAGTTGTGTTTTTGGAGTGGTTGCAATGTTTGCAGTGGTCATTTCACACAACTGCTGGATGTAGTGTGGTGTAGTGCAGTTGTAGTTGTAGTCGTAGTTGTAGTGTAGCGTAGTGGAGTTGTAGTTGTAATGTTGTGTAATTAGTGTAGTTGCAGTTGTAGTTGTGGTGTGGTGTAATTAGTGTAGTGTATTGTAGTGTACTGTAGTATTGTGTACTGTAGTTTGGTATTGTGTAGTGTAGTCTTGTGTAGTGTAGTGCAGGGTAGTGTAGTTGTAATTGTAGTGTAGTGTAGTGCAACTAGTGTAGAGCCGTGTAGTGCAATTTAGCGGTAGTTGCAATTGTAGCTGTATTTGTAGTATTGTAGTTGTAATGTAATGTAATTAGTGTAGTGCAGTGTTGTGTAACGTAATGTAATGTAATGTAGTTGTAGTCGCATTTGTATTTATAGTTGTAGGGTGCAGCAGTGCAATTAGTGCAGTGTAGTGTAATGTGGTGTAGTTGTAATTGTAGTTGTAGCTGTGGTAGTAGTTGTTGTTGTGTAGTTAGTGTAGTGTAATGTAGCATGATTATGCATAATTTATTTGCACTCGTAGTTATAGTAGTAGTATAGTTTAGTTGTAGTTGTTGTTGCAGTTGTCTATCTATCTATCTATCTATCTATCTATCGATCTATCTATCTATCTATCTATCGATCTATGTATCTATCTATCTATCTATCTACCTATCTATCTATCTATCTATCTAATCTATCTATCTAATCTATCTATCTATCTATCTATCTATCTATCTATCCATCTATCCATCCATCCATCCATCTATCTATCTATCTAGCTGCAATCTGCAAGCTTGAAAACGCAGCACTTCTGCGAGACATCCTCATTTTTTGAACTTGACAACGTCAAAAACGAAACAAGTCTGCGAGACTTCCTCAATTTTTAAATTTGACACCATCAAAAACGAAACATTGAAACAAGTCTGCGAGACGTCCTCAATTTTCGACGTTGACAACATCAAAAACAAAACAATGCTGCGAGACTTGGAAAGTTGAGTGCAGAGCTGACGGCCTCGTACCAATGCGTTTTGCGATCTTTCCACTCCACCTGTCTAAAGTACTGCGCCTGCCACGAAAAAGTGATGCCAGGTCATACGAAGTGCTGCACCTGTCACGCAAAATCATCTCAGCAAACCTGAAGATCTGATGCTCCAAAATGCAACCTCTCTCAGGAAATCAGCGCCCTGACTTCCTAACATCTCTGATGAACATGTCTCTTGTATGCGCCTGCCACGGAAGATGCATCGTTGCAGATCCTCGTCAAATGTCCCACGCCTGCCATCGTTTTTGGAAATGCTACAAAACCCTCACGTTTTGCTCACTGTTGACAAGGTGCACAGTCCCTTGGGCCCGCCACGTGAAACCACATCTGAACGTCCAAAAGGCGTCCAAAAGCGCTCCGTACCCCACAGTTTTTTGCACTTTTGACTTCGAAATGTGCTTCGCGCCGCAGCCGCGCGCAATTTTTGAACAGTTCAACTTCCAAAAGTGCTCGGACACATTTTTTGTTTTCACATTTTGACTTCGAAATGTGCTTCGCGCCACAACGGCCTGCACTTTTTCGACATCCCAACTTCCAAAAGTGGTCCGAACATATTTTGTACATTTTGACTTCGAAATGTGCTTCGCGCCACAACGGCGTGCACTTTTTCGACATCTCAACTTCCAAAAGTGGTCCGAACACGGTGTGTCTTGTACATTTTGACTTCGAAATGTGCTTCGTGCCTTGTACATTTTGACTTGGAAATGTGCTTCGCGCCAGAACGGCGTGCACTTTTTCATCGCTCATCTGGCCAGCTGGCTCCGCACCCGCCGCTTTAGCGAGCCTACTTTTCGACCCCCCAGAGCCACACATCATCGGAAAAACACAGTGTTTCGCGACTTTCCTACCTTTTCGCGCACCTGGTTCTTCTTTCTTCTGAGACTTTCTCTTTCTTCTTCTCTTCTCTTCTCTGACTCTTCCCATCTCTGCTTTTCATCTGTCCATATTGTCGGAAGTTTGACTTCTAAACTTCCTTCGACAATACTCTCTCTTTATTTAGTTTGAGATATATAGCGTGTATATAATTTACTGTATATATAGAGAGAATAGGTGAGTGCACGATCCATAAACACATATATGTAGTACATATATGCACATATATGCATATATAATTTTCTATTATTTTATAATATATACAGAGACAGAGAGACATAGGTATGCTTGAAATTATGGTGCTTTCTCTAAGACAATCGTGCTATTTTCTCCGGAAGCTTCACAGAGTGAAACAACCATTTATTTCTGGTTGTTTTGGGGGTCCAGGTACATTTCTGTATTGTAATGGAATGTAGTCTTGTGTTCTGTTCTGTTCTGTTGCGCTGCGTAGTGTAAGGTAATGTATTGTAATGTAGTGTTGTGTTCTGTTCTGTTGCGTTGCGTAGTGTAATGTAGTGTAATGTAATGTAACGTAATGTGATATATGTACGTATGTACGCGTACGTACGTACGTACGTACGTACGTATGGTAGGTAGGTCGGTCCGTATGGTAATATGGTAGTATGGTAGTATGGTAGGTAGGTAGGTAGGTAGGTAGGTAGGTAGGTAGGTATGCATGTATGTATTGTAATGTAATGTAACGTAGTGTAATGTAATGTAACATAACATAACGTAACGTAATGTAATGTATGTATGTATGTTATGTTCTGTTATGTTCTGTTATGTTATGTGATGTTATGTTTTAATATGTATTGTTCTGTTTTATTATGTATGTTATGCATGTTATGTATGTTATGTATGTTATGTGTGTTATGCATGTTATGTATGTTATGTATGTTATGTATGTTTTGTATGTTGTGTATGTTATGTATGTTTTGTATGTTTTGTATGTTTTGTATGTTTTGTATGTTATGTATGTTATGTATGTTATGTATGTTTTGTATGTATGTATGTTATGTATGTTATGTATGTTTTGTTTTGTTTTGTTATGTTATGTTATGTTATGTTTTGTATGTTATGTATGTATGTATTTATGTATGTATGTATGTTTGTATGTTTGTATGTTTGTATGTTTGTTATGTATGTTATGTATGTTATGTTATGTTTTGTTATGTTATGTTATGTAATGTATGTATGTAATGTAATGTATGTAATGTAATGTATGTAATGTATGTATGTATGTATGTTATGTATGTTATGTATGTATGTATGTATGTTATGTATGTTATGTATGTTATGTATGTTATCTATGTTATCTATGTTATCTATGTATGTATGTATGTTCTGTATGTTATGCATGTATGTATGTATGTATGTTCTGTATGTTATGCATGTATGTATGTATGTATGTTCTGTATGTTATGCATGTATGTATGTAATGTTATGTTATGTTATGTTTTGTTAGGTTATGTATGTATGTATGTATGTAATGTATGTATGTTATGTTTTGTTATGTTGTGTCATGTTATGTTTGGTATGTATGTATGTATGTATGTGTGTGTATGTATGTATGTATGTATGTATGTGTGTGTATGTATGTATGTATGTATGTAATGTTATGTTATGTTATGTTATGTTATGTATGTATGCATGTATGTATGTATGTAATGTATGTGTGTATGTATGATTGTTATCTTATGTTAGGTTATGTTAAGTTATGTATGTAATGTAATGTAATGTTATGTTATGTTATGTATGTATGTTATGTATGTATTGTATTGTATTGTATTGTATTGTATTGTATTGTATTGTATTGCATGTATGTATGCAGGTATGTACGTACGTATGTGCGTATGTACGTATGTACGTATGTAATGTATGTAATGCATGTAATGCATGTACTGTATGTACGTATGTAATGTATGTTATGTTATGTTATGTTATGTTATGTTGTGTCATGTTATGTTTTGTTATGTTATGTTGCGTTATTTTATGTAATGTATGTATGTATGTATGTATGTATGTATGTATGTATGTATGTATGTTAGTTTGTATGTATGTATGTATGTATGTAATGTATGTATGTATGTATGTGGTAAGGCCAAAAGCAAACAATCCCAATTTTTCGATTTTTAGCAGAAATTTGCTGCATTTCAAAATGTTCAAAGAATCCAAAATGGAATATCCAGATATAGGATGATTTAGGTAGATAGATATAGATATAGATGTAGAATGATGTAGATATTTATATATATATATATAGAGAGAGAGAGAGGTAGATAGACTGATATAGAGATATAGATGTGTGTGTGTATATATATATATAGATATGTGTATGTTGTATGTGTATGTATATGTATACTATATACGTGCTGGTCACCCAGGAAGCGCCTTTGACAGCCTCGAAGGCCTGGTGTGGGGCGTGCCCGAAATCAATTCTGGCTTTGTTGGAGATTTTGGGACCCCAACAAAGCCTTGTGGAGTGATGCAGATTTTCCCCAGGATCACTCGGAATGTCCCGTCAAACCAACATAGGGAAAAACAAATCAAAGTGGGATGTGTCCCAAAATCGGATTGCTTCAGAGACATGAGTTATTTTGTTTATCCTCCATGGCATTACCCACCACACACCCTTATCATGGCATGGCTATGTGGTTGGAAGATGCCGTACCAAAAATCACCAAAGCAAAGCGGCTGAAATAGCAAGCCCATTGATTCATGATTCATGGTTGATTTGTTTCAGAACAATCTACAGTAATACCACAATGTGGTACCAACTAATAACTCTCATGGTTGATTGTTTCGCAAGAATTGGTTAAGGACAATGGTACTAAAAACCATTGGTTGTTAATGATCATGATTCATCCATCTTCTCTTTTCGGGGAGTTTTTTCACCAAGCCTTCGGTTGGGTCCAACACCCCGTGAATTTCAGGATGAAATTGGTCAAATAGGGTTTTAATATGTTTTAATGTGGTTAAATATGTTAACATAATTCTCAAAACCATGTTCTAGTATGGTCAAATATGGTCAAGCGTTTCATTTTCCAAATCACATAGTGCATTTCGTATTGCTGCAGGCAGCTGGACCTCGATCGTCACAGGCAGCTCGGGGTTGATGGTTGTTGATGTAGCCATAATCCATTGCCATGTGTGTTCTTTTATGATTGATGAAGGAATTTTATGGGGTTGATGGTTGACGATGTTCTAAACCATGGTAAAATTTTGGGGTGTTCCCCTACTCCTGAGAAAACCAAAGTAATCCATATATCATTGCGACGGGTGACGCACCAAATGCCATCGTGTCAGGTCAATGGAGCAAGGACGCAAACAGTTTGCAAAAACTCGGGCTGGAGAAGTGACAGCAATTTTTACAGTTTTGTTGTTGCTGAAATGGTACCTGGTTTTATAATACAAAATTATTTCCTTACACTCAATGTTCGCGTGCAAAAAAAGGTCGATTTCATTCAAGCGACAAAAATGGTGCAGGGGGCTAGGTGGTGGTCATGTTCAAACAACAATAATGGTGAAGGAAACTTGGTATGGACATGCACAGTAGAAGTTCTAAAAGTAGAGTACCAGCTTGCAATCTCTTGAGACAAGGTACCTGGCACTCACATGGTAATAAAATGACCTGGTACCATAAAACCTTGGTTGATCAAAAATCGGGTGGTTGGGTGGTTCCCCACAAAGGTGAGTTCATCTGCTAGGAATTTCCTGACGCAGACCCCTCCCAAGGCTGGTCAGGCCACGGGGAAGTGGTGACCACAAATGGAAACGGATCCACCAGATTTTTTTTGGCAAATTTAGGGATCTGAAATAAACTGAAAACACCCGATTCTTGTAGGGGTACCCTATTGCCAGACAAACCCTTATTTTCCTACATTGCTGATTGAGCTGGCTACTTCTTACTTCACCAAGTTCGGTTCAGAACGATGCGCACGCACACACACACAGGCGCAGCACGCAAAAACTGACTTGCACAAAACACGTAGGAATGGAGCACAGGTTAAGATGTTTTGTCTTATCAAGGTGAGAACATTTACATGCAACAATCTGCGCGTGAAATAAGAAACACCTCAAATCACGTGTTTGTGGTTTCATTGTTTATTCATGTTTATTCGGTATTGAAACCACAAACTAGATGCTTCGCACAATGTACCCGGGAATTGGATGGAGGGAAAATTCACAGAGGAACCCCCCGTAAGTATATATATATATGTATTCATACATACATGTATTTATGAACTTGACTGCTGGTACCAATCCATCAGTTTCCTATTTAAAAAAAAAAAAAACAACAACAATAAATGTAGCAACCCGCCGACCTGCATGATCTCTACCCTTGTCAGGGGATGCTTTTTGGCAACTTGCTCCGGTAACACCAAGTGGCAGCAGAAAGACCATTGGGAAGCGGCGAGAAAAGCGCAAAAATTTAAGTCGTGCCAGCATTCTTTAGCTCATGTTTATACAGAGTCTTGATTTGAGATGAATGCGCCAGTGACTAATGTATGGTTCATGGTTTGTCCTACTGTCACATACCTATACTGTTGCAAGCGGCGGTGACACATTGGGGTGCTCATATCATCACTGACGATTTGGCTGCTTTGTGATGCTTCAATAATTTTCAAGGCATTCGTTGGGGTGTCCAATGGTATTGCAGGATTATCAGTAAACTATTTGACTCAATAATTATTTACCCAATTGTTATAACCCCAATCGTTAGCAATACTACCCAATATTATAATTCCAAGCTCATGGACACAAGATGCAATGAGTGAAGAGGCGAAAGATGTGTGACACTCGTTCCCAGGTTGATTTCCAAGCCTTGCAGTGGCGTAGACAGCCATGAAAACATATCGTCTTCGGTCAAAATCTGCTGTACCGTAGAAATAGGGGATGAGCATCCATAACTACCGTTTTTTGATCCATAAGTCCATAGCCAATGTTCAGAGACACTGAGTCTCTGCAAAAATCCAGAGAGAGCCAAATCCACTGAAGCATCATATGCCATGATATTCCATGATATTCCATGGTATTCCATGATATTCCCTATGAAACTTGCGATAACTTGGGGCTATGCCCCCAGACACATTGCCTGCGGCCTCCTGCGCGATGGCCTTCGATGAGTGGGTCAAACCTGCTCCAGGTCAACCGAGATGAGAACCATGAAAAACGTGGATTTTTGGGGGGGATGTACTATGATGTACTGTTTTTTTGTTTTGTTTCAATGGAAATGGTATAAAACAATGGGAAAATAATGGGAATACATTGCAAAGTGGGTGCCCCAAATCCTGAGCGAAGTTGGTTAACTATGATACAACTATGGAGCGACTAGGGTTTATGGAGATGACATAGCTATAGTTCATGGGGGTTGCACACCAACTCTGAACTGCGGAGCACCACCTTGTTCAGCCTTGTCGGTTAGTAGAGGGATTTGATAACCTCCCCTTACAATCAATGGCTAAGTGATGATGACTGGAAAATACTGGATGTTTTTTTTAGTGGTATGCCGGCCAGCATTTTTGCTCAGGCTTCCACTCTCAACTGACCAAGAAGCATAGCATTTTTTTCCAACGGGGAGTCTACGCTCCCCACCCAATGGTTGATGTTTCTCGTGGCCTACTGGTGGTATGTGCTGTACTGGATAGTCTTCAATTTAGTACATTGGTTTCAAAATGTAAACTCCATGGTGACAGATATCATTTTTGTCAATTTGGCAATGGAAAATCCTGTTTTTGTTTTATGATGGTGCTCTATGTTCCCACCAGAAAATGATTCCGGTGGATGTCCTTTTGGGAACAGCTTCAAATTTTCTCAGGATGGGACAGTTGCTGCTATAGCACGTTGTCCCTTTGTGCATCCACAGTCCCCGCATGGAGCGAAAACAAGCGCTTCAGTGTTGTTTTTTTCCTGGAAATATGGCAATTATTCCGCATTTGACGAGTAATCATCATTTGTTCCTTATGAAAATCGTCGTTTTTGGGGTATGCCTCATTTTCAGACACACACATGTCAGACAAGAGACGTGTGAATGGAAGACTCTGAAAACGAGAAGAGATGCGTGTTCAAGACAACGTGAAAAAGCGGGTTGAAGTCTGAAAAAACATACCGGCGTCCATGTGCCCCTCACTAGACTTAAATGGGTACCCTCTAAGCTGCCAGTGGAAGATCTCCATAGATGTTCCCATTAGGAATGGTCCACTTTCATCGCCAGGTGTGGAATATGGGCTGATCGTCATGATACAGCTGGCTGGTTGCCTCCTCTCAGTCATCCTTGCCCATCTTGTCCAATGTGTCCAATGGCAAGTCGAATCTCATGCCATCTAAGTGCCAAGTGGATCCAAGTGGTGCAATGCCAGGTGGTGCTCTGGGTGCTACAGTGTCTCGGTGATATGGCAAGAAGTTCCATTCATCTTGGGAGGATTATTCTGATAAATCTTCATATTCCACGAGAAGTTGATGGAATGAAATAGAAACATATAAAACCGAGGGAGGGATGTTCCATTTCGCAGTTTGAAGTGCCTCAGGGTAGGCCCGGGTAGGGGCGCTCTTCTAGATCGAGACGTTCAGGTAGATTCCGGGCTAGCCCAGAAAAATCGCTCTTGTTCTTTGGAATGGGGCTCAGAAAATTGGTTGCCCATGGGCCATGGATCATCATGGATTCAAAATTGGTCATGTTCAGTACATTTCAGTACGAAACCACCCCCCATGTTCGGGCAAGAAGTTTGAACGGCCACATGCTCCCAGGAAGCTGACCGTGTGATGTTACATAACCCTTGTGGACAAGTTGAATCGAGGGTAAATCATGGGCATCAATCATCATGACCAAAGCCCCGCTTCCCAGCAGTTGGAAGTATTCCCTCGACTTCACAGATTGAAAAGATGGAAGGTTTTTTCATGTTTTTTCATCTGTGGGCACTCAACAGACCCGGAAAGGATCAGGATTTCCAGCTGAGGCGAGTAGCATCTCAAGGAAAAACATCCGAGTATTTGGAGTGGATCAAGGACGGCAAAGGGATCAAGGGACTGTGCAACGACTATCTCTGCTTTTTGGGCGCTTCGCAGAAGTGTTCCATACCTTCTCAGTCGTCTTCTCCTTCTCCGCCTCCTTCTCCGCCTCCTTCTCCGCCTCCTTCTCCGCCTCCTTCTCCGCCTCCTTCCCCTTATTTTTTGCTTATTTTTCTTGTTTCTGTTTATTCTTTTCTTCTTCTTCTTCTTCTTCTTCTTCTTCTTCTTCTTCTTCTTCTGCTTGTTCTCTTCCATGAGTAGGCTCATGTGATTGGACTTTGCATGCATGTAGAATGAGCATCAAAAAAGTTGTGCGATGCATCAAGACACTGGAGGTTTCCCTTGGTGCAGTATAGCCTGTAGACTATGGATCCATCTTGAAGTGCCCCCAGGGGGGCCCCCTCTGGACCTGCTTCATTGCTGATCTTCCCAGACCAGGACAGTGGTTGGTGGATCGTGCTTGCGCCTTTTTGGCCTGCCTGTGGCTCAATGGTCGAGTCCATTGGACCCAGCAATTTCTGGTCATCAAACGAACCAATGTCCAAAACGGTCACAGAGGCGATGCAATTTTGGGGGGTCGGGATCCCTGCATGGTCTACTGGCAACATGGCAACATCGATGGGGCCCCATCATCCTATATCATCCTGAGATTGGATCTAGGCCATGCTCTACTACAGCCTGGTATGGCAAGTCCAAAGGCGGAAACATGCGGACATGGTGGTGGTGCTGTGAAATGAGAAGCAGAATGAACCGAAGAGTTAGAGGAAGCAAGTCAGAGAAGTACACCCACATGGCAATCATGGATGTTCTGCCATATGTGACAACAGTAAAATTGATGTTGTTTTTCTTTTTGACAATTATATATTTGTGCAGTAAATAGTTCCAAGTTGATGTTTGCCGCTGGTAACCAGCCATTGGCGCCAGGGCTGAACGCTCCAAGGAGAAGATGGAATGATTTCGTTGCGATGGCACCGTTTTTTGGATCCCTGAAAGTTGGGGAACTTCTCTGAACAATGCATTTAAAGAAGAAATTTAAATACTCTCTGTATGGGAATCCCATCCCCCATATTAAAGACATTCAAATACTTTCTAGTCGTTGGGACACTTGACATGATGGATTACAAAAAAAACAACTGCAGAAGGTTGGTTTTGAGCGCAGACCAAAAAGGAATTGGAACAAGGAACAAGTTTGGAGGGCAAGCGCGTTTTTGGTGTCCAGACAGGGAGTCACTGTTTTTTTCATGACATCGTGACATCCTCAAATCCCAAAGGGCTGGTTGTGAACGGAGCTCTGGATCTTGAAAGTCAATGGAAGTGGCTCAAAATGACCTCCAAAGTTAGAGGGTAATTTCTTATTGCCACCCTTTTTGCGAGTCCGTCCGAAGTCCGAAGTGATACTAACTTAACCATCGAAACGACGACAGGCTCAAGACCGAGCATGGCGAGCATCGGCAGAACAAGATGAAACAAGATGAAGCAACATGAGACTAGCAGATCTTGGTAGAATTGCAGGAGAATCTTGGGTTCAGAATGCAGTTTTGCGGAAACCTGCGGCTTATAGAATACTACTGCTTAGTAGATGATTAGAGGGACTGTCCAGGATTCAGGAAGTTGCAAAACACACCAGATGCACATAACAGTCTGCCACAGGCACGCCCGAATGGGACACATATGCAGAGCTCTACAGAAGTCATTTTTATGTTGCTCGCGAATATTTGCAAGCTCAAAAATGATTGAGGGATATTGAGGGCGCCTTCAAAACGTGTGAAATTGCTGCCCAAGTAAGTCATCTTGAAAGTGTGACCCTTCCAGTAATTTGACCGTGTGCCTGCAACACCAGCATGCTGAGCAGCGAAACTGATATGTTCCTCGGCAGTCGATCTGGTCACAGGGCAGTCGACCCACACGAAGGATTCTGACTTCAGTACCATACGGTACCATACAGGTCCATACAGTACACACATACCTCTACATAATCTATTGGGAAACAAAAAACTTCACCCCAAAGCCCAAAGCTATAGATTGTTGTTTAAAAATGTTTAAAATGTGTTGCCTTTTTGTAGCGTTTTGTTGCCTTTCAGATAGCTTTCGTGTCGCTACCCGGCGTGTGTCCAGGATGATGCCGCTTTCTTCCAAAGCAGGCCTTTTCAACTGGCACCGGTGAACGGAGGAAGCGGCTAGGAGCTATGTGTGAATCCATATTGGCCTCAGGCGCCCATTTCGATGTGTAGATGCTGTACATTTGACATTTGGGCCTCAGAATATTTGGCCCCAAAAAAATTGAAGACGCAATCCTCAGAATGGTCAGCCATGCGTAGATCAATTGGGACTCTATGTTTGATTGTTTCGGAGCCATATCCGTTTGAGTCAGAAAAAAGCTTCGATCGTTGCAGAGGAGCGTCATTGCAAGGTAGGTGT